GTTTAGGGTTTAGGGCACAGGGCTTAGGATTAAGGATCTAGGTTTCAGGGCTTCGGAGTAAGGATTTAGGTTTCACGTGTGCGTGTGCGGAAGGTTTGCTGCATTGGGATCGGGCGCAAAACGAACTGCGACCAGTGGCGGGGGTGCTGCTTTGTCCTTGCACGTGATGTGGTGCATGGGGTTTGGAGATATCCATGAGGTGGCCTCAACCGTACCTAGCAACTGCATTGTTCTAATGCAAAGTGATCGGTTGGATTGGGCGTTGTGGTCGACGAACCGGATCCTTTACCACCCAAGCCCTAACCCCGGACGCCTATCTCCGGTCTCTAAAACCCTAAACCTCAAAAGCCATATAAGTCCCTTACACCTTACAGAGCCCATGTAGACCACAGTTTCCGTCGATTGCCGAGAGGACCGACTCCCCCGACTTGCCCGGCTGGCGGCACATTGGGGCTTCTGGGGCTGAGGTCTTTAGCATAAGAGTTCCAGGAAACTGTTAGAGTTATATATGGAGTGATGTGGTTTAGGGGGGTGTCTGTACATGTGTTCTGAGGGCTTATATACGGGCCTGTTAAGAGTGTGTACAAGGGTTTTACAGGTTTCAGGTGGTTGTACATAGCCCTAAACCCTAAACCCTAAACCCTAAACCCTAAACCCTAAACCCTCAACCCATAGGCTCAACTTTGGCTGACGGGCTGGCTCTAGGGGGCCTTCAGGCCCAGAATAGAGTTTGGGGTGAAGGGTTTAGATTTGGGGCTGAAGGTTCGGGAGTTGAAAGGTTAGGGTTCGGCCTATCGGAGGCAGGTCTTCTGGTGCAAGTTCAGGGCTAGAATACGGTTTAGGGTTTAGGGTTTAGGGTTTGGGGTTTAGGGTTTAGGGTTCAGGGGTAGAAAGGACCAGGAGGCATACAGTTTGCTGGGAGAGGTCGTCGGGGGACTCGAGTAGTCTGTCTCCTTCAAAAGACGTCGAGTTTTGGGGTTTAGGGTTTAGAGTTTAGGGTCTAGGGAAGCGAGTCTTACACAGAATTCCGGTGTCATCTTTTTGAACCCTATCTTGTTTCCCAGAAAGTATCGCGCTGACATGAGCTCACAACACTGACCTTAACCCCGAGACTGACTTCTGCCGGACCATAGAATCCGTAAACAAAAGCCCTTTAAGCACGTGGACCCTTAATAGAAAGACAGCGCAAGACCAGTTTTTGAAGGCTCGCGCCTTCTTGCGCAAAATCTCGCTGGATCTGTACCGCAGAGCCTCAACTCCATCAGCCCCCAATATCACCTTAAAAAGCAGATAATAGCAGTTCGGAGCCACTCTGTGAATGTCGCCCTTTAGAGTTACTTCTTCATAAGAAGGTTCGGGGACCCAAACTACAAGCAAGAAGCCCTTCAACCACCCTGGTAGAACTCTTGCAAAGCCCACGAAACCCTAAAGTCCACCCTCCCTAGGCGGCCATGTCATTGCAGCAGTTCTCTGCACGGGACCCGAAGGCACGGGACCAAAGGGTGAACACAGGTAGGCAAGGCCTCAAAGAATCTTTCTCTGGGGGCTTTAAACAATTTTAGGGTTCGGGGTATGGTGGCCCCGCCTCAATGCCTGTTGAGGCTTGAAGGGTTTAGTGCTCAGGGTCTGGTGGTCTTAAGGGTAGGACCGGTAGAAGGGATGCAAGAGCTTCACCATCCGAAGGACGCGCATCCTGCAGCCCCCAATCCTAAACCCCAAAGTCGAAGCTCCGAAGCCCTAAACTCCGAACCCAAGACACTCAAATTCCGAACTCCATGCCCGAAGGTTTGAGTTTGGAACCCCAAACCCCACGCCCCAACTCGTGAGCCAAACCCGCAGCCCGCCATCCCACGCGGTTTTCCCACCCGAAGCCCTAAACCCTAAACCCTAAACCCTAAACCCTAAACCCTAAACCCTAAACCCTAAACCCTAAACCCTAAACCCTAAACCCTAGAACCCTAAACCCGAAACCCGAAATCTCCCAAGCCCCCAAAAACCCCCCCAGACTCTGAACCCTGCAAGAGCTCTTGGGTTTTAGGCTTCAGAGGCTTTGGGGGTTTGGGGGTTAAGGGTTTAGGGGTTTAGGGTTCAGCGTTGAGGGTTTAGGGTTTAGGGGCTTGAACGTTTTACGGTGTAGGGGTTTTGGGGGTTCAGGGGTTTTGGGGTTCAGAGTTTCTGGCTAGGGGTTTACTGTATCAGGATTACCGTAAGCCATAAGGGTTGCTATTGTGGTTCAGAGTTTAGGGTTTGGGATTCAGAGTTTTGGGGTGCGGTCTTAGAGTTCAGGGATCTGGTCGTATGGGTCATATGGGTAGTCCTCTCAACTAGGGTCCGTTGTAAGACTCTTTTCAGAGGGCCGTTCTGTATTGGTGACCTAAAAAGGGACCCTATTTTAAAGAGCTATCCTTATAGTACCCCCCATAGAAACCCTATAGAAACCCTTGTAGATCCCTTTATAGATCCCTGTAAGGAACCCTAGGAAGGGACCCTTGTGGGGGTCCCAGTGAGGCCGCGCTGTGGACCCGTCCCGGGCCTCGCGGGGATCGGCTTGGCGCAAACAGTGCGAGGAGCTCCGTTTGTTGAAGTAGATTATGGCGCCTAAACTGAACTGGGAATATCGGGGCCTTGAGAACTTTACTGAAACTGAAACTCTTCAAGGACTTGCTGTCTCCGGACTTTTCGAATTTCGAAGTTCCTTTGTGGAGGCTTTTGGAGGACGGCATCTGTAAGGTAAAACCCTGACAAATAACACGCTTTTCCTGGACTTCTTAGTAGCATGCCTTCCCGCCGTGTATGAATCCGGGATCTACACCTGTGGTTCGTTCTGCATCCGTTTTGGTGTCCTTCTTAACATCGCCTTCTCAGTGTTCTGAGTATTGCGAAGGTAGTCATCTTTTGCGGTGGCCCTTGGCAGGCAGGAGCTTTGCATTGTTGTCGCGCAGCTTCTGCCGAAAGTGGAGGTTCAGTCCTGCCACGCGAACACCAGACCTTCGCTCACAAAACTCCAGAGCTCAAGTGCTTAGGGATGGCAGTGAGATTACGGATTACACGAAGCCCTACACCCTAAACCGTTTCTGGGTAATGCAGTGTAGAGCGGAGCCCTGCGTTCTTCTCAACAGGACTTCTGGAGGCTTTGCATGGGTCTTAGAGTTTTTGATAAGGGGGTTGCATAACCTTTGAAACCCTAAACCTACATCCTAAAACCCTAAACCTTAAATCCTGAACCCCTAGACCCTGAACCTTAAAACCTACACCTCCAACCTTAATCCCTAAACCCCTAAACCCCACACCCCCAAACCCAAAAGCCTCCCAACCCGCAGCCCTCACAAAAGCAAATCACCCAAGACATGATCTCGGCGAGGATCTTTGCACAGCCACGGAGGCGTGGACCGCCAGAATCCCCCCAAAACCCGGGGTTTTTTTTCGGACGAGACCTGACATGATGACAAGGATTGTAGCACGATTCCGAGGGTTTTTCCATTGAATGAATCCCTAAACCCTAAACCCTAAACCCTAAACCCTAAACCCTAAACCCTAAACCCTAAAACCTAAAACCTAAACCGTGGAATCTCGGGGGCTGTTGTGGGCTGGAGCGGAGGCTTGAATCGGTGGCCTGAGCTTCTTGCAGCTAGCAGCAGTCACTTCGTGTTTCTTGTTGTGGTTCGACCATGCTTTGACGGGCAACAGTAGTGCAACAGTAGTGATGGCTAGCTAGCTAGGTAGATGGGTAGATAGATGGGTAGATAGTCATTTAAATGTAGGAGGGTTACGCGTACTTAGTTGTTCTTGCTTTCTGAAGCCTTCGGGCGTGCAGTTTTGGTCCCCGCGAAAGCTTTAGACCTGTGGCTGGAGGCAACTACCTTTCTTTTTTTTCTACCCTGTCACGGCCTTTGTAACATTGCCGGCACAAACTACTCCGAAAGCTGTTGCCGGGTCGTAAGCGCGACAACCAACTCTGAGCAGTGAAAGGCCCCTGGCATCCTCTTGCACTTTCGGATGGTAGGCCCTCTACCCGAGCGTTCGCCTGGAGCTGTTGCTTTTGGAGTGGATCTCCGACGAAGAGGCATTTTATCCCGTGTGGGGCTCAGTGAAACGTTGTCGCAATGGTGTGGGCTTCGTTAGGGGTGACCCTTTCGAGTGCTTTCAGAGCTGGATCTTCGGGGTTGAGAGCTTCAAGTTTAGGCTGTTGGCTGTCTTCTTGTTTCTGTCGGGGAGGGGGTCATGTTCGCAGTCGTTGTCGCTTTCGGTGTTGTGGTAGCTATTGTGGCTGTCCGCACCTATATTGAATCTACATCCCCACCACCAGCACCACCACCATCGTCGTTGTCATCATCACCATCATCATCATCGTCATCATCATCATCATCATCATCAGGCATCATCATCACCATCATCTTCATCATCACCATCAGCAGCATCATCATCGACATCACCCCTACCATTACCACCACCATCACCATCACCATCGTGGACTCCCAGCCCAGGTCAACGCTCTTCGGAACTTCGCACTCTCGCTTGCGAAGCACTTCGAGCTGCTCAGTCGCACAGCAGACCCGGTGTTCGAGAAACTGCAGTACCCTTTGATTAGGCGTGATGCAAGCATGGCATACCGCACATGCCTGCTCAGATCAGTCAAGGATTCTGTTGCAGGTCGGGCTTGATGGTGCTGTTTTGGGTCTTCGTGCTCCGGGTTCACTCTTCAAAGGTGCAATCATTACAGGACCCAAAGAGCACCCTCAAATCCGCACCGCTGCATCCGGGAGATTCTGGTATGAACAGGGAATACAAGGGGATAGTCTTCACCGATTGTGCAGACCTCATATTGCAGAGCCAAGCTTTACAACTTCACAAATACGCAAGTTTCGAAGATCAAGCCAGAAAGTCTGCTCCCCAAGCCCCTCCATCCCTGAACCCCAGACCCTCACACACAACCACAGCAATAACCACGAACCTTAAACCCAAAACCGAAACCCCCAAACTAGATGTCCAACCACTCCCCTAAACCCTGTGAAACCTGATTTCTTTATCCCTCTAACCTGTGCACTCCCAGATTCGTCCTCCAGCTGGACGTGGATTTCCTGCCTTCAAGAAACCTCAGGCAGCTGCTGGAGAGCGAGGCATGAACGGGGTCGTGTTGGGTGGCTTCATGTTTGTCATCTCAAGTCCGATCCCTGCACCTCTAGACCCCTAAACTTTACACCAGCAACATCCACAACCCTAGAAGCCCCTAAGCCCTCACCAAAACCCCTAAAGAGACCCTAAACCCTAAACCCTCAAACCCTAAACCCAAAACCCTAAAGTCCACCATCCAGGTGGCCGCTCTCTGCCTCCTCCCGCCCGCGCAGCTCCAGGGGCCGACGATGGTGGCAGTGATTGTGCCAGCACTTGAGCCGCTGGAGCACACTGAGGCCGGATTTCGGGTGGAGGGTTTCGGGGTTTTTCTTTCTAAACAGGGTTGCAATGGTGGGAGTGAGTGGATTATCTTGGTTTTTTTCCGTCTTTTGAGAGGGTTTGCGCGGCCCGCCCTGATCTTTGGCTTTCCGTACGGTTTGTAGAAGGTTTTTATAGAGCTGCCAGTCTGGTTTTCTGCTGTTTAGGACTTTAGGATTTATATCGGCTTTTGCGCTTACTTTGGTTCTTGAGCTACAACCCCAGAGCTCAGCCCTAAACAACTAGTCTTGGAGCCGAACCGCACCAGACCCCAAACCAAGCCCACAAAGAAACACTTTTCGCCCTAAAACCCCTTAAGTCTTCATAGCCCGAAACCAGCAACACGCTGCACCGTCAATCTCTTCACCACCGAAATTTCTTATAGCATCCTTAGAAAAACGCTGGTGGAGTCCTGATCAGAGCCCGAGCAAAAACACAGACATTCTTGTGACAACTCTATACTGCAACAACCTTGATAAATCCCCGAAAGCGACTTATAAATGTTTTTTGAAGCCGTACCACAGCACGCGAAAGCTCGAGGAGAGCCCCCGAACCCTAAACCTTTCGATATTCCTTCAACCCTAAACCCTCAACCCTAAGCCTTAAACCCTAAGCCCTAAACCCTCAACCCTAAACCCCAAACCCTCAACCTTAAACCTTAAACCCTAAGCCCTAAACCCTCAACCCTAAACCCTAAACCCCTCAACCCCAAACCTAGCACTCCGACAACTCCAGGAATGGGCCGCCGCCGTGGCCCCCGGCGCCTTCGACGCCGCCGCGGCGCGGGCGGCGCTGGGGCGCGGGGAGCTTCGGCCCATGGCCTGGGCGCAGCCCCGCGGCCTTCGGAGAGTCCTTCAGTGTTTCAGTATGTATGAATGAATGAATGAATGAATGTATGTATGTATGTATATCTATAAGTATATATATATACACATACATATACAACATATATATATATATATATATATATTATCGTTTTTACATTAATACATAGATTATATACATACATATACATGCATACATATATACATATATGTACACATACACACATATACAAGTGTATGATACACATATACTTAAGAGCATAGTCGTGTTTTTTGGTGCAAGTACATATGTAACATGTACACATATATGTACATATGTACATGTATTTCTGTTTTTATTCAAACTTGCCTTGCTGAGGTTTCCCACGGGCCACCGCCGGACCGATTTTTCGAGGTGGCTGCGAAGACCGGAGGCGAGGGCGGAGGTATTACAGGTTTGGCTTGAGGGGTTGGCGATTTGGGCTTTGAAGGGATTTGGTGTTCAGGTTTGTGGGGATACAAACCCCTAAAACCTCTAAACTTGCTCCCCAAGCCCCCTCCGAAGCTTAAGTTCTAAGCCCTAAACCCTAATCGAGTTAAGGGTGCAGGGTTAGAGTTTCAAGTGTCTGGTTTGGGGGTAACGGGTTGAAGCTGGGTCGTTAACGCTCCCAGCGCCGACCCCCCCAAATCCACCCCAAAGCTAGACGCTCGAGACGGCAGTCCGCATATTTAGGGTTTAGGGTTTAGGGTTTAGGGTTCTGGTTCATCGGATGTAGAGGGTGGATCGATGTTGATAGGGTTTGGAGGGTTTTATGCGGTCTGCAGGGATTCAAGGCCTGGGCCGTTGAAGCTCCCGAACTTCAGGAAACCGATCCCAGAATCCATAGTTATAAGTGAGGCTATACGTCCCTTAATATGGGGGGTTTGGGTTTAGGGTTTAGGGTTTAGGGTTTAGGGTTTAGGGTTTAAGGCTTAGGGTTATAAGTAGAGTTACCCTACTTAGAACTATTTCTCCTTCTCTTGTCTGCGTTCCTGCTGGCAAAGCTCTGGGCAGCCCCCGAATTAAAGGTATAGAAAGATCCCACACTGGGGACAGACCATGTGCCAGGGCCCCTGCTGAAATCGGTGTGCCGAAACGAGGGTTCGAAGGCATCTTCTACGATATGTGGCGGTTTCCATGTATGTTACGGCCTGGCGTCCTTAGAAGAAGGATCTTGCTATATAGGATCTGTATGGGTCGCCGGCTTTATGAAGCCCTCCTGAGCCAGGAGCATAAGGGAGTAGAAATGCTAGTTATAGGATCCTCTGCCAGATGTTCCGGGGGACTCAGTCACTGATGCTGTCTGTGCCTTAATTGGTGGTACGGGCAGTGAGACCCATCGTCCAAGCCAGCAAGTCCTATGATCCCTGAAGCCCGAAGAAGAAAGCCGCCAAGAAAGCCCCTACATCCTCGAACTTGCTGATCTCGAATCTAGGGTTAAGGGTTCAGCAGTTGAGGTTGAGGGTTTAGGTCTACTAGACTAGACAAAAAGTGTGACTGTGCCGAATCCACAACCTTCCTGTTTGAACAAAGCACGATGAGCTCAGAATTTCGTCTCTGGGTGTCGGGAGGACCCTGGCCTCACGTACGGCCCTGTCCTCTACGAGGAGGCGGGCAGCGCAGAAGAATGTGAGTCCGCAGCCCGAGAATAGTACCGGGTTGCGATTCCCTAAGGGTTCCCTACTATAGACATTGAAACAATCATCTAGGCCTCATCATGGCCCGATGTCCATCACGAACCAAACCTGCCTGATGAAGCCCTAATCTTCTGCCCCAATGTCCCTGAAGCCGAAAAACCCTAAACCCTAAACCATAAACCCTAAACCCTAAACCCTAAACCCTAAACCCTAAACCCTAAACCCTAAACCCTAAACCCTAAACCCCTAGGCCCTGAGCTCCGAAGCCCTATGTCCCCAAACCTGAACCCCTCAGCCCGACAGTAGGAGGTTTAGGCTTAGAGGATTAGGGTTTAGGGTTTAGGGTTTAGGGTTTAGGGTTTAGGGTTTAGGGTTTAGGGTTTAGGGTTTAGGGTTCGGCGAAAGAGCACGGCTTAGGATTTCGGGCCCGCAGGGATTGATTAGGGTTCAATCAAAGGATCATGGGGCTGAAAAAACCGGGGCTTTACATCCAGTACTTATAGCTATACTACTTGTAGCCCCAGCTTAGGTACGCAAGCCTTACTTGCCAAGGTTTTTTAAAGCAGCTTCTACATTCCCATACCCTAAACCCCAAACTCCAAACCCAACACCCTTAAACCCGTAAGCAAGAGTCGGCCTCTTTTGTGCGGGGCTTGTCTTTGTGCACCCTGAAGCGAAGTCTCACCCCCCCCCCAAAAAAAAACCACGCATTTTGCAACCCAGACCCTAAGACCAAGATCACCCTAAACCTGAAACCCTACACCCCAAACCCTAAGACCAAGATCCCCAACGCCACAAACCCGAAACCCTGAACCCCAAACCCTCAACCCTCAACCCTCAGGCTTCGTGGCCCCGGATCCCAAACCTGATGCCCGAAGCCCCATATACAGGGCTTAGAGTTTAGGGTCAAAGGTCAATCCTAAACCCTAAACCCTAAACCCTAAACCCTAAACCCTAAACCCTAAACCCTAAACCCTAAACCCTGAGGGCTTCGAGCCCTTTCTCTTCCTCCGAGCTGGCAGCGCGCCTCCTTTCGAGGAGCGTCTGAAGGGGCTCCTCGGCGGCTCGTAAGGGGTTTTGTGGGGTTTAGGGCTTATGGGGTTTAGGGTTTAGGGTTTAGGGGGTTCCGGGTTTAGGGTTTAGGTCATCGCTCATTTCTTTGCTTTGCGAGTGGGCGGGATGGTACGAAAGCATTGGGGGCCGGTTCGGTTTTGGTGCATAAACCCTAAACCCTAACACCCTGAACCCTAGATCCTAAACCCTAAGACCCTAAACCTAAATTTTAGGGTTCATGATTCGAGTCTGGCGAAGGCCCCTACACTTGGGGATTCCAGTCGTGGCGGCGGATGGAAAGAACCCCACACCCCGCATCCCCGAAACCTCCCACTGCATATACATATATATATATATA